TTAACTTTAATGTTTATTTGAAGAATCGAGCTGATTATTGAAAACATGGTCTCCGCCCCAAACCCACCGGACCACCCCAACTCTTATAATTATTATTATAGTTTAATTTTTAAATAAATTTAAATTTAAGTAAATGGAAAGCGATGAGTGAGCACATTTTAAACCCCGTTTGACCCGTCCCCATCCCACCTTCGAAATCCCAAGCATGGGGAATGGGGATGGCTGATTGCCTCGTTACCGTCGCTCTTTTTAAGGAAATTAAGGGTTTATGCATTTATTTGCGGTGACCATAAAAAACTGAATAATTAACAAATACATTAAATTTTTTTTTTACTAATTTCTAACTTACTTTTAAATATTTTATTTTCAAAAAATGATCATTTTTTATATTTTACCATAAATTTTGTGATACAGTGAATTACAATGTGTAATATTATATTGCACACTTTTCATCATCAATTTTCACCGCCACCATCGTCATCACTTGTGACACCATGTGTTACATATAATTTGCCATCTATTTTAACCGTAATTACAATCTTTGCTACCATCACCACCACTTATAACATTAAATATTACACTATCGCAATTTATTCCATCACTTAAAACATTTATTGTTACACCATAGTTGCTTCCGTCGCACCACTCATAACATTTGTTGTTTTATCACCACTGTCGAACCAAAACCATTGCTTCCACCACACCATCTGTAAAATATCATGTTATGCAGCCACTTTGTGTTACACCCACTGCTCGTGCCACCATCGTTGACGCCATCACCGTCAACAACAGACTCTTAATTTGATCATACATCACCACCACAAACAACCAAATTTGACGCCGCCAACACCAACACCATCGCCACCAACAACATGACCATCTCTTCTAACTGCCACAAAAACAAAAGCACATGCACGTTGATACATCAAACATATTTGATTTTAGTGTGGACAACAAAGAAACCTCTTCCTGTATCAACACCTCAAACTACACGGATCAAAGCCTCATCCAAAGTAAACTCCATAGGATCAATGCCTCATCCAGGTTGGTGGTTGTGGGCTGCATGGACTTCAGATTTGGGAAGGCAATAGTTGTGGTGGTGCTTGGTGGTTCGTTGACCTTTGTGGTTGATCATACCATGTACTACTGAGCCGAGCAGTAAGCCCGAGGACTTCAGCGCCAGCTTCCCTCGAAAATGCCAAATACTGCTCGGGCAAATTCTGATCGGGATTAACATATTCCTCGGGAAGACTTGTATTCGGACTTTGCCCTCCTCATCGTGCTCTCTGTTGGCGTGGCAGCAATCCTCCCCTGGAAAGAGTCCTGCATCTATCCTACCACCTTGACCCAGGAATCCTAAACCACGATGGACTGTGATCCCTCTGGTAACATTCCATCTAAGGCACCTTGAGACTCCTGATTGTGCTCAAATGCTTGTCCCTACAATCACTCCTGAAAATAAGGAGTTGAATCCTACTAGGACTATACTATCTACTCCTATAAATACAACGCTCCCATCCATTATTAAGGTACGTTTTTTACACACGATTTGAGCGTCCAATATTTCCCATATTCTCTCTCTAACTTAAGCATCGGAGGGGCGACGAGGACACACCTCGACGCCTTTGTTTCAGGTGCCGGAAGACCGCGTTCGTGCTTATTCTCAGTCGTCAAGCTCGGAAGTTGACAGGTACGCTTTTTGGTAGCATCAGTGGTAATGGAAGATAGTGGCGCTGCTTGGTGGAGGTTGTGTTTGTATGTGTTTTTGTGCTTGAATAAGTCTGCATTAGATCTTGTGTTTGTTCGTGGAGAATACAAATTTTAGAGACTAAAAAAGTATTTAAGAAATAAGGGTACTAACTACTAGGTGTAATTTCTTTTTAAATAAATTAAAAAACTTAACAAAAATCATTAGCCGCCTAAGCATTTTAGTGGTGTCACATTGGAATTGACATTACTTAACGGAATGATCATTTATATAGTACTACCAATTAAGTTTAGTATCTCCTAGTGTAATGAGTTGAAGTGGAGCGGTTATGGCATGAGTGATAATCGCATTTTGAGTGTCATCACTTCGAACTTAGTTGCAGTTGTGACGAAGTGATGCAGAGTGCGGGCCTTAGCATCCGTCGGGGGTAGGAAATGGATTAGTTCGTCCGTCGCATGGTAAGGACGAGGTCAGTTCGTCCGCCACATGACCAGGACGAGATCAATTCGTCCGCCACGTGGAGGGCGGGGGAAGAATTTAGTTCATCCGCCACGTGGCGGTCGTATTCAATTCATCTTCCTGATGTGGTGGGTGACATGGGAGATGACTTGGAAAAACCCGTAACAATATTCACCACGTAGAATTAGGGACATAAATGAGGATAAAAAAACAGAACAAGATGATGTCAAATGGGGTAGTGATTCAGGTTTCAATAATATCTTATTGCTGTAAGTGTTTAAACACTAATGGATGATTCTCTCTTTCTTTGAATTTCTAATGATCGAGATGTATGATCTTCGCACAAATGAAATGTTTTGTTGTAGTAGTAAACAGATCAAAGCACTACAATGAATCTCCTTTTCTTCCAAATACACTTCGGTGTACAATCAACCTTACCCTATAGTTCTCAGTCTAAACCTGAGCCATAAGACTGCTCCAGTGGGTATCTTATTGTAACAGGCAGTGAAGAATCATAAGCCATCTGGTTTATTTGTAATACCAGAATGTCTAATGCTTACGTTACTCTTACTTATAGTTTGATTATCTTGGACCACGAAGACTGAGTCGTGCATCTGGTTTTCATTCCCATCATCATATTGATATGATAAATCTCCTCATGCTCTCAGAGATGGAGACAGGGGGCACGGGGGCAACCGCTCCCAACATTGTATTTTTCAATTTCGCCCCACAAAAAATTTGACTCAGCCCCGCAAAATTTTGAAATTTTTTTCCATTAATAAATATTGACCCAATAACTTACAATTTAAAATTCAAGCATACAAAAATCTTAGACCTAAACAAAAGATCCAATAGTTACTTAAATAAATAAATAGCACAAATCCAATCCAAAAGCAAATGACACATTTATGAATCAATTACCCAAAAGCAGCTACTGAACGTGCATTTTCAACTATAAGTGTCATTAAGATAATATTGCGTAATAAAATGGAAGATTATTTTTTGTTCATGCTTGTGTATATAGAGAAGGAGATTGTTGATACTTTTCTATTAAATTCTCTTATTGACGAGTTTGAAGTGATGAGGACAAGGAGAGACCAATTTCAGATGTACAAGTCATCTCTACCATCTGTTATATAGATAGGCAGTTTCTTTTTGTCTTTTTGATGTTCATTTAACGTTCATGTTTTCAATTTGTATAACGTTAGATACATAAAATGGACATATTGTTTTTGTATCGACAAACTGATTGTCTTTTTGATCAGTCAATCTAACTTGCCTATTTTGGTACTCAAAATCGTCGTTTTTAATCTTATCAGTTAAAAAAAAATTTGGGGGGCCAAACCCCCGAGAAGGGAGGCAGCCCCCTTCCACCCCCTGTATTTTCGCTCCCGCAAGATTGAAATCTTGGCTACGTCCCTGCATGCTGTGCCAGAAGAACTTGGAGTCAATATCATGGCGAAAATATGGTAAGGCTGTGATTCCTGCTCAAAAAATAAAAATAAAAAAAGGGACCTAA